GTGTAAAAACTTATGCAATGTGCTCCACGAACAACTGATAGAGAGTTCAAAGACAATTTACAACAAAAATGGCAAGAACCATTAGAGGTTAGGAGGCCGTGGCGCGTAGTTATAACGTTTTATAAACAAGACGTTCAGGGTTTGAGGCAAGCTCTCTAGATATTTCGCGCCATGGTAAGGAAGGAGGTGTTAACTTCACAAGACAAGACCGTTAGGTTTTCTTTGGGCCCTTAAAATAAAAAAATTAAAAAAAAAACACAAAAAAAAAAGGTCGATACAAATATATTGGAACGAGCAAATAACCCTAAAGACAAAGTTTTTGACAGATGTATGATTAATCGGGAGATTCGTAGATATTAAAAACGAATCCATAAGACAAATAAAAATAATCTTTGGATAAGGACAAATCCAAGGGTTATTATTACGTTGCAATACTATTACGTTGAATGATATTAAGTAAATACAAATAATTTTAGTTGACTAACTGAAAAACAGTTAGTCAACTAAAATTATTTGTATTTTAACTTGTATTTTATTTACGTTTTTTTTTTTTTTTTTTTTGATTAGCTGAAACTTAAGAAACTCTTAAGAAACTTTAAGTACTAGACTGGGAAAATAGATCCAAAAAAAAAAACTTTTTAGTACTAACCTTTTACTTGTTTACCTACTAAAAAAAACCTGTATATGTTAACGATTTTTATAGTTTTTGCTAATAACAAAATTTATATAACTCACATTAAAATACGCTAAAGCTTGCTGGCAGCAGCGATAAATAATTCTGAGGTAAAATGCCGGCAGAATGTTTGAAAATAAAAAAAATTTAAACATTTTTCGCACTCAAATGTTTACATACCTCAGTTAAACGAAAGAAAACGCGTTCAAACCTTTGTTTGACCCGTTTTCTTCGTGAAACTTTACATTTTAATTCAAACAGTACTAATTATTATTAATATTACACATTGTTAGTGTTTACTGTTATTATTAATTTTTATTAATATTTATTAAATTTAAGTTTATTAGGTGCCTCAATGTGTACATATATCAACCAATATAGCCAGGCGTTGTTTTATAATGGTCGATCTCACTTCTGGAAATTATTTGGGGAAAAGTTCAACACCTAAGCATCCAAGGCAATCATGAAAATATAACAAAAAGATAAATGTTTGGGGTTGTTTTAGTGCGCACAAAGTTGGAAAACTTTACCGGGTGAAGTGTACCATGGACCAAAACTTGTATAACAAAATGATTGGTTTTTGTTAAAGACTAATGAATACTTTACATACTTATGTGTAACTTAGCAATAAACCCTTATTATTTATTATGACTTCTTCGCCTCTAGAAGGCATAGTATCTACAAGTCAGTTTAATAAGTCATTTTATAAAGCATTCCAACCTGCAAGAAGAGTTTGGAACAGTTCATCTTCATTTGTTGCGCGACGATCTTGCAATTTTCTATTCAATATAGACCAAACGTTTTTTAAATATTGAATGTGTTCGCATTATTTTGTTTTTTACAGATTTTATTTAAATAAATTTTAGCGTATATACAAACATACCTTTTCTGTCCAAGATTTTTCACTTGCACATCCAATTTTTTTAGTTTTGCTTCCTTATACATTGTATACTTAAAATTAAGAAAAAATGTTAGTGTGGCTTTATTTTTGCATCCTACTCTCTCTCTCTCTCTCTCTCTCTCTCTCTCTCTCTCTATATATATATATATATATATATATATATATATATATATATATATATATATATATATATATATATATATATATATATATATATATATATATATATATATATATATATATATATATATATATATATATATATATATTATAAAATTCTTTAACGTTCGCAACTTCGTTGAACGTTTTGTGTTTGCTGGGTATATATAAATGTATATATAGAAAAAAGACTGAGGTTGAGGATTCACTAATTTTTTATGATAAATTAAATGATATAACAAGGTTTGATGAAAGTAAAATAATTTTAAATAATAAAGAGAGCCTATTACAAAAAATAGTGCTCAGAAACCAAAATATTTATAGGTGCTGTTTTTAAAAAGGTGTAAGTTATCTTTATCTATTATCCATTGCGGAAGAGAATTCCAATCGTTTGTAACTTTGTTAGTGAAGAAATGATGACAACTCGAATTCTTCATACAATTTTCCCCTTAAAAATTTGAATCTAGTAGCCCTGTGTTGCACAAATTCAAGATTGTCAATGTCCTTTTTCCAAAATGGGCTCCAAACTGTTACCTTATATTCCAAGTGAGGACGTTCTAACAATTTGTATAGTAACTTTAATGAAACTTTATTTAAATACTCAAAAGAGTTTTGATCCTAATTTTCTGTTTGCTTTGCCAAAAGCTGAAGTAATGCGATATTTCCACTCTAGATTATTTGAAATGGAAATCCTAAGATCTTTTTCTATTGTTGTTTTTGTTAAAACAGAGTTGTTCAATTTATATTAATATTTAGGATTTACTAATATACATGACTTTACATATTGATTCATTAAATTTAATTAACCAATCTTCAGACCATTTTACTAAAATGTTAATGTTCTCTTGTAATAATTTATTATCATCATAACAATAATTGATTGAAATAACTTTGGTATTGTCTGTATATAATTTAGTGACTTTAATAACCCCTCTGCATAAGACATTAATGAAGATTACAAATAAAAGAAGTCCAAGAACTGAACCTTGCTGTTTCTCCACTAGTAACGATCTTCCAACTTGAAATATATTCTCCTATCAATACCCTATGAGTTCAATCTGACAAAAATGATTTACACTAATTTAGCAAAAATGACCCAAATACAAGTCTAAATAATTTTTCCAAATTTTCCTGTGAGAGACTGAATCAGATGCTTTTTTGAAATCCAAAAACAAAACATCAACTGAAATGTCCTCTTCATACGCTTGCGTGATTAAATCTAATGTTTCCGACAGATTTGTTATACAACTTTTGTTATTAAAAAAAACCATATTGCTCTTTAGAAATTAAATTGTTTTTAATGAGAAACACGATCATACGATCTCTAATAACTTGCTGCATAATTTTACCAATGATTGATGCTAATGAAACCGGTCTATAACTTGTTGGATCTAGTTTATTGCCCTTTTTGAATAACAGAACAACGTTTGCACATGGCCATAACTTTGGAATAGTTCCTGTACTATAAGATTTATGAAATATTAATGCTAAACAACTCAATAAAAATTCTGAATATTTCTATAAAACTTTTGGATGAACATTATCTGGACCTACTGATTAGTACATATTTAAATTACTTAAATGTTTCTAAAAAATAGAAATACTAAAATACGGATCAGTGCATTTTTTTTAAAAAGATTGCTGCCTAAATATTCTTCTGATGAATCATCTTGTATAAAAATAAAACTAGTTTATTAAAAATGTTCTCTTAAACAACTTTAAAAAGTGAAAAGTAAATGTAACGACTAACTGTTGAAGAGGGCATGCGGTACAAAAATACAAAAATATTCCCTCCCCTTTTAAAAGCTACATTTTCAATGTCTTTTAAACGTTCTTCACAGGAAATATGTTTAGAAAACGTTTAAAAGACGTTTAAAATACGTTTAGAACGTAAATTTTCAAAAACAAATGCCCGCTGGGTTAGGTTTCGGTCGTGTTTATTTTTTATTTTAATCCGTAATTAACGTAAATAGAGATTAAGCCGATAATTGTTAAAGAAACCCACCTCATGTTGATTTGACCAGACTAGGACGTTGTACCTTGGACCAGAAAAAATTGTTTCCTTGGTTATTTTCAAACTTTAAGAGGCCAAATTTTTGAATTTTATAATCGAGTTTATCAGGCGGCTGTGCTTTATTGCTCTTGCATGCAATATTGTATCTAGTATTATGGAAATTAAACAATTCATTAAATTGTAATGCAATTCACTATTTATTCTTGTACCACTACTACACTTGGAGTAATCAATTTTGTTAATTACGTTAGTTAAACAGCTGTATCAATATTATAATCAAGTTCATTCTATCACTTAATTTTTGCACTGCTATAAGGAATTAAAAGCATAAAAATAGTTTATAATTCTATTTATACATTTTAGTTTTAAAATGCTAAGGAGTATGGTTTGTGTATTTCTCAAAAAGATTTCCAAAACAGATATGCTTAAATTAAGCATATCCGTTTTGGAAATCTTCTTGCGAAAAACACTGCATAAAGCCTTAATGAGTTTTGTGCTTATATAAAAAATGATTTTAAGTGAAGCTGCAAGACATTGTAACAATAAAAAATCAACTTTGATATTCCAGTTGAAGCAGTTTAAAAAATCAAGAAGTTGTGAATTTTCATATTTGCATACAAAACCAAAAAAATATTCTTAACATAAGAATTAACTTTTAGTTAACCACTTGGCAGATGCTGCAATTATGCTTTACGAATTTATATTAAAGTAGATAAGATTCTTTTGCATATGAGTAAAATAATTAGGATTTTATGGATGAAATATAAATGTGCTGGTGAATAATGGCTGCAAAACTTTCCTAAAATATATAATAATAAGTTATCTCTATGTAAACCACAGTCTACAAGTCTTGATAGATTTTCTGGATTTAATAGAGAAACCATAAGAATTGTAAATAAAAATTACAAAAAAGATTTAGAACGTTATCATTTTGAACTCTATCAAGTATTTAGAACTGATGATGAAACAGGAATCACCATAACCCTGTACCACCAAAAATATTAGCTCGAAAAGGCAAAATACAAATAGGAAGCATGACTGAAAATATTTTTACTGATTTCGACTTTTTAGCTGCAAATATTACTGCTAGGCCAATAGTAAAGACTGAAACTTGCAATTCTTATGTTAGTATTAATGCTAGAACTGCTCGTGCCATTTTACCGGCAATATCACCTAATGTTTTAGAGAAAATCGCTCCTGTAAGTTTAACATCAACATCATTAATTGTTTCAGCTGAAATAATACGACCTTACCTGTAAGCCAAGTTAAGAAAAACAATTACTACAAAAAAACGTGAAGAAAAATCGCGTACTTTAACTGAAATGCATGAAATTAAAGTTATTCTAGATTCAAAATCTAATAACCAGCAATGTAAAATGTTCACTTCAAGAAAAAGTGAAAAAATGGCAATACAGATTATTTTTAATCAGTCTGACGAGTGTTTAAATTATGAAAGTTTTGTTGAAACTAATTTTTGAGTAAATATACTTGATAATAAAAGTAAAGTTGTTTCTAGAAATTCTTTAATTGTCAAGTTTAAAAGAATGAAATATTTAACTAAAGAAAATAAATGACTTTATGAAAATAGTTATAAAGAAAATATGTAACTAAGAAAAATATGTGACGATATGAAAATAGTTATAAAGAAAATATGTGACTAAAGAAAATATGTGACTAAAGAAAATATGTGACTAAAGAAAATATGTGACGATATGTAAATAGTTATAAAGAAAATATGTGACTAAAGAAAATATGTGACGATATGTAAATAGTTATAAAGAAAATATGTGACTAAAGAAAATATATGACGATATGAAAATAGTTATAAAAAAAGTGTGACGATATGAAAATATGTGACGATATGAAAATAATAACGGAAATTTAAATAAGTGATGCTATTAGTAATACTGACTGAGTATTAAAACTTCGACAAACAAGTTTTTTAACAATTTTTCTGCTTTTTTTTAGACAATTAAGACTGCTTACAAAAATAGTTAGGTATATTTTTTTCATTGAAATGAGGTAGGCCAGAAGTTTCTTTATAATATATAACAAACTAAAATATTAAAAAGATTTCATTGTATCACTGCATGATTTTTCAATGATGGTAGTTTGGTCAAAAGAACAACGCGGATTGGTCAAAGGTACAAATACGTGTTGCACGTTTGACCAACTAGACTTCTTTTTTAAATCGCAGAAAAATTATTTTTTTTCGAATGTCTAAAGTATAATTTTTGCGAAAAATATGAATATCACAAAGTTTGAATGGTTCAAATTTATTCAATAAACTACGCGAAAAACGCCTTGAAGCAAAAAGTGGTTAAAGGTACAACATGTACTCCTATATCATGAAAAGTAATTTAGAAGTTACTAATGTAAACAATTTTTGTTTTTTAACTTAGTTATTATATTACTTTAAAATACATCTTATTACTAAAATTTGAAAAACTCTATTTTTTTATTAGCAACTAAGTTTCTACATTAATTTTTTCATTTTTTAAATGGTTTTTTGGTCTGATTTGTGTTTTTGCTTGTCTGATTTGTGTTCTAATTTATTCCTATCTACCATCAAAATCGTATCAATTGAAACATAATCACGATTAATATGTGTATATATATATATATATATATATATATATATATATATATATATATATATATATATATATATATATATATATATATATATATATATATATATATATATATATATATATATATATATATATATATATATATATATATTGGACGCTCTTGGTGTACTTTTTACTCCAAAAACGTCTATTTATAATGATGGAAACAAATGATGACATTTTAAATATATTTAGTCAATTTTGTGTAACTTTTTTTAGTAAGTAAAATTTTGAGTAACTTTTTTTTTTTAGTAACGATAGTAGACAAATACATCTTGAACGGGCAATATTACAAACTCTCCTTCATTCCCTATTTTAAAACTTGATAGCTATGATTAAATGATTTATTTAAAATGAAAATCAGGTTAGACAAAGCAGTATGAGTATAAGGTTCACATTTTAATCTGATTTTGTAGTTGGTTTTATGGTTTTCTTTACTTGCATATTTTTACTTTTAACTTCTTAATGTTTTAATTTCTTATTTTTTTAATTGATAAAAAGACTGAAAGAAATTATGATATGAGCAAAGTATGAGATTATGTAATGAGATTATGTAATGAGATTATGTAATGAGATTATGTAATAAAATTATGTAATGAGATTATGTAATGAGATTATGTGAAATTCGAAAAGAGCCTATTTATTTACCAACAAATGGAAAGATATTTTGTTTCTTTCATTGCTTTTTCAAGATTCACATGACAACTTCAGAACTGGGTTCAATGACTTTTCACATTGACAGCATTTTATACAAAGGCAAGAACAAAATAGGCAGCTCACTGATGCAATCCAATGCTATTCCTTGCTAAACACTAAAAAAACAATCAAAATTTTGGCATATAAAATTCGGCGAGAAAAAACTAGCAAAATTAGAAGAAATGTTCATACATTTTATTGGCAATATATGAGAAAATCATCTTTTTAATGATATAAAATACTCTGTAATCCATTGAAAGCAATGCGTCTAAAACTAAATACTTTTTACTGATTGTTGGCTCATCGCGCATTGGTAGCGAAGCGTCCAAAGCTAAACACTTTTCACTGATTGTTGGCTCATTACCTGACAATACACACTTTGACTCCTTTTCAATAATCATTCAACATGTACACGAGGAAGTTGTTTTAGAAAAAAGATTTATTGGGTTTGAGTCTCCTTGTGGACTAAGTGGTTTTAGACCTTAAATATGCTAAAATCTTGGCAAAGATATCTCAAAAAGTATAATGTATTAAGTTATAATTTTTTTCTTTTTTATTCCTTTTATGTAGATAAATATCTTGAGATAAAAAAATTTGTTGAAAGTTTCTTTATTTTAAAGCATCGTTAGATTTTTCAATGTGCCCAATTAAAATCAAACTTCTGATATTATGGCCAAAAAAATTTGTTTTTTTAATAATTTGTATTCTTTGTTTTTTTTATCTCAGGACATAAGACTCATTATAACAAATCTGTGTACAATTGGATAATTACAGCTTCTGCAATCTTCGGCAGAAAATTAGAAGAATAAATGGAGAAAAATGCATATAAAATTTAAAATATTAATTATACAAACTTATAAAAATAGTTAAAATCTCCTTTTTTTTATATACTGTACCTTAATCATTGTATTTATTGTCAAATCCTTTCCTAGTTGCTTTAAGATTTTTTTTGTTTTTTAATAATTTTATTTATTTCTAACCTTAACTAGCCGTTGCTATGAACGTTGCTAGGGAAAACAAAATTACCCAGCTAAAATAAATCACTTTTATTAGTTCTAAAATATTTTTCTTATATAAAAATCTTTTTATTTTTAGACTCTATAACAATTACTGTTTAAAATAACGAGAGTTTTGAAAAATTGGTTTTTTCATTTTTTATTTTTTCATTTTTAGAAGTCTACCAACTTAATTCTTGTTTTTTAAGTAATAAAGACAAAATACCATCCAAAGTTGAGTCGGAGAAGGTGGTCAGTTGAGAGGGTGGTAAGCAGGACATTTCTATTTAAATTCTACATGCAAATTAAGGTTACAGACACTTTTAAAGAAAAAGGAAATTTTGTTGCTTTTGTGAAGAAGTTTTGACACAGAATCATGTTACGATTTGATGCTACTAATATCAAAATTAAAAACAAAAGTGCAGATTTAGCTTTTGGTGTGCAATTGTTTTAATCTCATTCGGAATGTGCTGGAAGGTTTTCAAACATTATTCCTAAACAGTGCAAGCACATGAAAGCACATGAAAGAAAATGTGCAAAGTAAAAGTTAGTAAGTATACAGTGAATGAAGTGGTTCAAAGTGGTGGTGGCAAGTGTAGAATTAAACACTTATTCCCTATCATAGATAAGTTGAAAATGTGCTTGAAACTAAAGCTTTCTCCTTATGAGTCTGCAGAGAAAAAGTTTGGTTTTCTAACTAGTTTTCCGACCATGGATTTCTTGTAATTATTGCTGTTGGCAAACCCTTGTGTACTATTTAGTTTTCAGACTTACACAATTTCATGATGAAACTGTCTAGTTTTCCAAGTTCTTAGCAAATGAGGAAAATATATTGGCACTAGGGCGTTTAAAAGCAATTTGTAGGAATAATTCAAAATCAGTTTTTGTCAAAATGTTGGGATTGCATTTTTGATTTTTCCGACCCTTCCCATTACATATTATAATGCAAAGCGATCATTTTTAAATATGGCAAAAGTTAAGAATGTTCTCCGTTCCTCGATTGTTATAATTCTCTTTGTTTAATAAAAATTAATAGAGCTCCGTTACAAAATGTAAACTTTGAAAATTTTTAAATAAATCTGCAAATTTGAAAGCAAGAAATATTCTTTATGAATAAAAACGTAATCATGTTTGCTCCATTTATTTTTGAAAACATATTTTTGGTCCTTAATCCGGCCTTGCGTGAAACCAACGTTATTACAACGTTAGATTTAGTTTGTCAATGTCGCCTAACATAACTCAATATAAATCCAGCTTTGGATTAACGTTGTGTGCTAATTGAAATTCCTGTTATGATTGACCAATAACTTTCGATAACTCCCTTCACTAGACAACTTGAACAATTTTTATTGGGTAAAATTTCAACGCCATTTAGTTTATATCATCCTAGAGACTTCTAGAAGTTGTGAGTTGTAGCCAAATCTGATCAAGATATTGTGGGTAAATTATTCATTTTTTAATCATTTTTTTATTTACAAATCCGCGTTTAAACTTTTACAAGTAATGTATGGTGTGCTTTTTAAACTACAGGAGCAGATTGCTTGCCATATAAAGAACTTGGTAGCTGATTTCTCAGTTAGATTATACTTGAATTTTAAGCGGCATATCTGTTTTTTGACTGATAAAAATATTGCAGACCTGACAATTGTTATAAGTCATTTTTGCAATAGGTTTTATGTATTATGCACAAGTTTTCTCGTGTTTTTATAAAACTTTTTTGAACAACGAAACATTTTAATTTCTTCATCCATGAATTTCTTTGAAGTTTTTTATGATTTGCTTTATGTTCTTTAGATTTAAATACTTTTTCTACGGCTGCATTAAAATTATTTTGCAAGATCACTCTGCGACTTACATGAATTTGCAAATAGCGATAATGACAGATTTTGCTTTATGTTTATTCTTTAAATTTATTTTTTTTTCACTTCTTTTTCAATAGATTGGGTCTATTTATATCACAGATTCAATCTATTGAACACAACATATGTTCACTTATTTTTGAAAATGAATAAACGCGTTGTTTTGCGCATATTGATACTTTTATTAGAAAATGACTTCACAATAAAAAAAGACCTCAAAATAAATGAAAAAATTAAAATGTAGACCTCAAAATAAATTGAATAAAAATCTTTTCCTTATTTGTAGTGTTAACAATTTGATTCCATTTAAAGAGATTTTTTCTCAAAAATTGCTGAATTTAATAAATAAAGTTGAAAAAAGAGAATTTTTTATTTAGTTGCTTATGTTTTGAGAGATTTACCATTAAAGAATAAACAAAACTCAAAGAACATCACGAATTTTTTTTGATTGGTAATAAGACAATTATATGTCTTCTTTCCCCGGCCGTTTGCATATTTTATAAATACGAAAACTATTAATGCTGTAGTAACCACAAACTTACAAAAAAATTAGAACTTTTAAATTACAAGCAATAAGAAATTGAAATTTGGCTCAATTAAAAGTGGTGATAAAGTATTTTATGATCCAAGAGTGATGTATTCAATGAAATGAAATTCTTTGAAATATCTTTTAATTAATTTGACCTATAACACAGTAGGCCAGAATGCACCAAAAGTTAGCGAAAATAAAAAAACATCTACATATAATTTTTATTTATCAAAACATAAATTTTTGAGTTCGGGGGATTTTGAGCAGCCTTAGCGCAGTAGGTAGCGCGCTTGCCTCATAAGCTAGAGATCCGTAATTCAACGCCACTTCTCGGCAAAATATATAACATTAGTAAAGAAAAAGGCGTGATCTTCTTTTCAAGTTTTTTTCCGCGATGCTCTGTGATAAGACCGTAAGGACTTCTTAGGGGTAGCTTGAATAATATAACATAACATAAAGGAAATCCAATACTGACACCAAAATTTAGTTTTAACCAGTCTGTTTAGCGCGCTATATTTTAAGGTCCATTTTTGGATTTTTGAACTTTTGAATTTTTGATCCAACTTTTTAGATCTTATTATATCAAAGTTTAGACTTTGTGTGTTGATAAATCTATTTCTGAAATTTAAATTGAGTTTGAACCACACTAAAGGACGAGCTACATTATCATGGCCAACTTGTACAATGTTGGCATATTAGATATCAAAATAAAGGTTTTTTAAAATGAGAAATCCACTACTGAAATAAAAATTACAATTAAGCACAGTAATAATGAAAGGTTGTTTCTAATAAAATGTCATATTCAGTAGCTTTTAACATATTAAAAGTTTGAATTTTTATTTTTTGAAATAACGATAAAACATAAAAATTTGTTTCAAAACAAAGATTTCAAAGTAGTAACTTACGAAAATAGTCACTAACATATAAAAACATATAAATAACTATATAATATATGTGTTTAGCTGTGTTTTATAAATTAAATACTAATTTTTAAAAATTAACTAAATAAGTAAATGCAAATTGTTTATTGATATTGTTATGTGTCAAACGTGTTCACAGAGCCGTCCAAGGGGCTGAAAACATATATATAATAGATATAATATATATATATATATATATATATATATATATATATATATATATATATATATATATATATATATACACATATATATATATATATATATATATATATATATATATATATATATATATATATATATATATATATATGTATATATATATATATATATATATATATATATATATATATATGTATATATATATATATATATATATATATATATATATATATATATACATATATATATATTACTTTAAACAGTCGTAATTGTTAAAACTTTACATTGTCGACAATTTAAAGTTTTCAACCCCCTCATTTTGGAGAGGGTGGAAACTTTAAATAGTCATAATTGTCGAATGTTAAAGTATTATTAGATGAAATTTAAAATCTGTTGATGAATATAAATTTAGTTTAAAATAGCAATAGTATAAATCTCGGTAACTTATTGCCCTCATATTTGGGACTGGGGGGCACAAGTTTTGGGGTTTTAGTAGTTCCCAGGCTCCATTTACTGCAATTTTTTACTAAGTATTCTCATTTAAAATAAGTATAGACATACCCAAAATTAAAGATTGCTCTATGTCTGAAATTTATTTTTCTTAATCTTCAAAAAAACGGTCGCGACCCCTGTATTTCTATAGTATTTTTCATTACAAAATCTAACCAGGTAAATGTAATTATAAATAAGCTATTACAATATATTGTATAGTTTTCGATGTTAAACTTAGAAATGAATCTAGAGGAAGGTGGATTAGCCCTCCCCTATTAATGTACTTTTTTTTCGAGCTGTAGTAGGAGGAGGGGCAAGAAATAAAAATGAAATCAACGTCATAATAGACTTCAAATTTTTAACACTTAACATTTTAAATATTTTTTGTTACATTTGCCTTGGAACTACCATAACCCTAAAATTCGTGCCCCTAGCCCCAAATGTGAGAGCAACAAGTTACCGAGTTTAATGCTATTTTTACCGAGTGTAATGCTAAACTAAATTTATATTCATTGACAGATTTCAAATTTAATTTAATAATATTTTAGCATTTTACCATTTTTGGGGCTGAGGGGCGCAAGTTTTGCAATTTCTATAGTTCCCAGGCTCCAATCACTCCATATTTTTTCAAAGCATCCTAATTTTGTATAAGTATAAACATACCAAAGTTTGAAGTTTGCTCCATGTCTGCAAGTTATCTATCTCAATCACCAAAAAAGGTTTCCGCGATCCATGAAATAGGGAAAATCTTTTTTTTTTGGTCTTCTTTTGGACTTTTTTATATAAGTTTTCCAACTTTGAGAAAAAAAAAATACAGTTAGAGTGCTTATTTTCATTTTTGTATTAGTCATTGTTAGAGTTTATATAGAAAAAAAATTTAATTCAATATTGTAGCACACATGGGTTTAAAATGGGTCAAAATGGGTGGCACACTTGAGTTTAAAAAACGTCAAAAAAGGGTTTAAAAAAAAAGTACTTTAATATATATATATATATATATATATATATATATATATATATATATATATATATATATATATATATATATATATATATATATATATATATATATATAATGAAGAGGCCGAAGACAAACATTTATTTTAATTCCCAATATTGACCCAAATGTATAAAAAAACAGGAGGAGGGGGCTTGGGGTGGGAAGAGGGAGCACATCGCTACTATTGTCACCAAGGCTCATGACTAGAGTAATTGTTAGGTGAGGTTTAAAAAGTATATACTTTAAACCTTTTTCCAAAATTTTTTTTATTGAAGTTTTTTTAGTTTGTAAAACTGTTAAAGAAATGTTGTTAAATTTTTTCCGTAAGTAAGTTCCGTAGCGCTTTCTTGCTAATGAATCAGCATTAATATACTAAAATTTGAGGAAAAAAAAGCTTGTTCCACATGGGTTTCATATAGGTTCCCGTATATCTTAAACAGAACTCACATGGAACTTATGTGGGAAAAGAGTTTTTTTTCATTTAAGAAGTTAAGAAGTAGTGCTTATTGGAGAAGTTAAGAAGTAGTACTTATGAGAAGTTAAGAAGTAGTGCTTGAAAAGTTAAGAAGTAGCGCTTATTGGAGAAGTTAAGAAGTAGTACTTATGAGAAGTTAAGAAGTAGTGTTTGAAAAGTTAAGAAGTAGTGCTTATTTGAGAAAAAACGTTCCGTTTCAACCGGCATCCTTACTTAATAAAAAGAGATCTTGTTTAGCTAAGAAATATGTTTTTTGTTCCGGAATAATTTATAATCATTTAAAGCGCGAGTTGAGATTTTAGAAGTAATACAAATAATGTCAAACCCTCGCCTTTTGTTCTATTTTGGCAAACGTCTTAATCTACTTTCTTTTGTCTACCATATAAGTAGGTAAGTTAAAACAATAAAAATGTAAATTAATAAAAATTAAGTTAGTAATAAAAAAAAAAACAATTCTTTCTTGTAAATAATAATTCTTTTTTTGTAATTTAGTTACTATTTTAGAATAGATTACAGAAGTAAGTTGACAAATTGAGTATAGTAATTTAGATTTAGCTTACTGTAGTATGGGCCTAATTAGCACATAAGCGCGAAGACTTTTGCAGTTTTTTTTATTTTAATTTAAAAATCGCTCAATTAAATCTTGCAAGTAGACTTAAAAAAATCAAAATGGTGTCTTAAATAACGCGGGAATAAATTGTTGTCTTAAATAACGCGGGAATAAAATGTTGTCTTAAATAACGCGGGAATAAAATGGTGTCTTGAATAATGCGGGAATATCTCTTGTTGCCTCAATGCTACAATAAACCTCAATAAAACTTTTTGATAAACTGTCATTTAAATTTTTAAGTAGTACTCTTTCAAGTTACTTATTAGTTACTTTAAAAAAAAAAGCTGAAAAAATAGTGGCAAAAATAAAATTATAAACTACAACTTTCTGTTAAATTGCTAAAAAAAGATTGTTTAAAAGTACAATAGTCAAAAGGCTAAAACAAAGTATGACATAAAGTCTATATTTAATAAATTAATAGCCTGTACTAAAAATTGTTGCTTTGTACTTGTAATATCAAGTAGAAGAGGGAAAATTTCTGGGATGTGTATTTAAACCTTTTTGTTTATTTTTACATCATTGAATTTCATTATTTAGTTATTTGTTTTTTAAACAACATTAAAATGGAGGAGAATTTTCGAAATTGTGTAAAGGTTAGTTTTGGTAAAAGCTCGTGAATATCATAGTTATTTTTGCGTTGGTTATAAGTATTTTATTCTATTTCCATCTAAGTAAGTGTTTTTTTGCCTCCTGAGTTTTTAGCAAAGTTACGTTCATCTATTAAACTAGATCATAAAAATTAGGTTTTAGATAAATATTCAATGAGTTTCGTACAAAGTTAGGAGTGCAACATTTTTTTTCTAGTGAAATTTATTTTTTTTGACTTTATTAACTGCTAAAATAGCAACGTTTTCAAAAATTTCTTTCCTGAATTTTCGGGTATCATTACTAAATGAGAAGTTTAGATAATCGTAGGGTAAACTAGGTAAAGGTTGATAAATATCAAAGGAAACCATTTTAATTTGGTCGTACAAATTTGAATTTATTTGAGTAAGTGTTTCTGTATCATTTATGTTTTTAGCAATGTTAAGGTCACCACTCTGACCAGGTAGCTCATAAAAAGTAGGGCTTAGATAAATACTAGACAAGTTCCGTGAAATCTTTACACCGCAGCATTTTTTTTCAGCTGAATTTATTTTGTTTAACGAGATGAACTTTTTGTTTTTATTATTAGTTAAAGTTGCAACGTTTTCCAAGTCTTCTCCTCTAAAGTGATTGACATCATTATTAAATATGAAGCTTAGTTGATTGTAAGGTAAAGCTGGTAAAGGCTGGTAAATATCAAAGGAAATAATTTCAAAGTTAATTTTGATTTGCTCATACAAATTACTCATAGCATAGTTAGGTTCATCAGTCAAACTAGGTTCATCAATCAAGCTAGATAGCTCATAAAAAGTAGGTTTAAGATAAATATTTGATGAGTTTCGTGAAACTTCTACACCACAACACTGTTTTTCAGCATTATTTATTTTGTTTGACGTGCAGGATTCTTTGTTTATAATATCAGATAAAACTGCAACGTTTTTTAAAAGTTCTGTTCTAAAGTGCTGAGTTTCATTTGGTTTGTTATAGTTATCATTTAGCGGACAATAGTTTAAACTCGTAACGCCATTATTTGTGGATAGGTCTAAAGTAAGAACTTGATAACTTACTTTGCTAAGTTTTAATGAAATATTGCGATATTTTTTTTGGGTCTTTAAAATTTTGCCGTAGGACCTAATGTTACCATTTTTTTCGTTAGAAAAACTTGAACTATTTTTTTTAAGATTAGACTTGTAAGAATTCCTTCGTTTGCTGCTATAACTAGCCTGTTTTTTTGTTTGACTAACCCTCCGGTTTTTCAGTGAGTTGTTGTTATTTTTGTCTAATTTTCTGTAAAACTTGTCAGAAAGCTGCTTGTTGACAGTCTCGTGCTCATAGTTTCGTATAAATTTATTTGAAAAACTTGCTTTGTTATTCGGCGTATTTAAAAATTTTTTGGAATGGTTCTGTTTAAAATTTCCAAAATTATTCTTAAGAGAACAACCTTTTTTATTGAATGTTTTTAATTTAGGTTGAGGAACTGACACACTACAGGTTTTTACGATTGGTTTACGAGGTTGTGGAATTTTAGGCGCCAGCTCTTCTCTGTTACAGGTAAAATCAAATTCATTTTTTAGTCGACTATTTTGATCCGTTTTAAAATTTGTCAAATTTGATTTAAATGTAAAAGGTATCGTTTCATACAACTCATTATCGCTATCGTCATTAATTTTTTCTACGTTGGTATTGTCGCTAGAGTTCATATCAATTTTATTGCATTCGTTTTCTAGTTTAGTATTGTATTCTGTGATTGTTTTAATGGCCAAGTTAGGGGCACACAAAAAGCTGCTTAAAACTGGTTGATCATTCAAAGAATCTTCATCGGAAATCATTGTTGGTGTGATACTTATCTTTAGTTGAGCAAATAGTAGACCTAAAAAAATATTATTATAATTAAAAAATAACGCAATACTCTTTGAAATTAATACTATCATTATGCGCAGAGCATCTGCTTACCTTAGGTATAGCACTTTAACTTATTTTGATGTAAAAACGCGAATTACTTTTAAGCTTAAATTACTTTACATAACTCATATAAAAATATATAATTTAATTACATTTAAAAGTAGTTATTTTTTTTTTCGTATATTATATAACGTGTAAAACTTAATTACTTAAGTTAAGTTTTTTAAATGAGTAACTGTTACTTAATAAACTAATTTACTTTTCCAAGTAAAAGTTATTTGCATTTTTACTTTTACTTGTAAATGTAACTTACTTTTAATGGTAAGTCGTGTAAAATAATTTACTTTGAAAAGTAATTTTGGTTATAATTATGTAAAAAATTTACATCGAAATATAATTTACTTTATATATGTAAAAAAAGTTATTTATAAAGTAAACTTACGTAAATATAATATTTAAAATTGTTATTAACAATTATAAATAAAAGTAAATTTTTTCTTTGAAATTTTATACTTTACTTTGTAAGTAAGTAAAATGTAAGTTTTATTATGTAAAATGTACGTTATATTATGCTATGGGTAAATCATGCTTTTGTAAACTTGACTAAATCACTGTTCGTTAGAGTACGCTTTTTCTCCAATTTTTTTTCTCTGTATTTGCCTTTTTAATCAAGTATTTTGTTAAGGTAATATGACGCAATATAACATTTTTGGTATCCGCAATAGGGTGGATTGAATAAGAGACTTTTTTTTAAATTGTTTTCTAATTGCTCTAAATATATGCGATATAATAAAATATCACTGGATTAACACAAATTTTTGAAAAAAAATATTTATAGAGGTGCCCCAAGTCCCTTGAACATTTATAGGGTCCCTAATATTCTGAGAAAAATAAATTCTTCAAAAGTAGGTCAACCTGGTACTCAAAAAAAGTGAAATTTTATAAAAAGTTCGAAAATAATAATTGTTTTATAAAAAAACATATCGAAAAAATATATATATACAATATCGAAAAACTTGTAAAAATGCACTTTTTTTAAGTTTCACTACTGTTCTCCAAGCTCCGTTTCACCACCGTTCTCTAAGCTCTGTTTCACCACCGTTCTACAAGCTGATTTTTTCAACATTCGATGAAAAACTTAGAAAAACTTAAACTTAGAAAAAGTTGATCAAAAATATTTTATCGAAGTTTCCGCAAAACATTTTTTTTAAAAAGTGAAATATTTAAAAAATACAAATTTAACAAGTATATTTGTAAATAAAAAAGTATATTTTTAAATATAAAAGTATATATTTCATTAAGTAGAATATTAAAAAAAAATATTTAATTAAAATAAAATATTTAATTAAAATAATATAAAAAGTGGAATATTTAAAAAAAATATTTAATTAAAATAAAATCTTTTAAAAAAGTTTCATTTAAGTTACCGCAAAAAAATAATTGTTTAATAAATGCACCGCTTGTGTAAATTCCATAAAAGTATATTTATCGCATTTTAAGGCAGCTGTTTTTTTAAGAGTAACAAGAATATAGATCAAATCATCAAATGTTGAAAAAATCAGCTTGGAGAACGGTGGTGAAACTTAAAAAAAGTATTTTGAATGAAAAGATAATAATAACATATAATATGATTTGACATACTTTGTTTTACAATAACCATCACTTTAATTTTCCATATATATATATATATATATATATATATATATATATATATATATATATATATATATATATATATATATATATATATATATATATATACATATATTTATATTTGAAATATAACTATATATGTTATTATATTTATAAATATACTTTTTTTATTTACAAATATACTTGTTAAATATATATTTAAAAAAGATTTCCCTTTATTAAAATATTTTTTTTTTTTGCGGAAACTTTAAAGATTTTTTTGTTGTTGATGTAACTCCAATACTCTACTGTGGGTCTTACCCTTATTTTTTTTCTCTAATATTTTGTTTTTCTCTAAAGTTGGGGTTTATAACTTTTTAGAAAAAAAGATTTTTTGCCAAAAAGATTCCAATCACATATTTAAAATCAGGCCCGAAGCAAGCTTTTTGTTTTTGATTGAGAATTTAACTTTATGTAACGACATGGAGCAAACTCCAAACATTTATATATTCATTTTTATGTAAAGCTATTCAAAAGTATTGCGTTGGAGTCTTTTAACAATAAAGCTCTAAAATGTTTACCTCCCTTTCATGCCATTCGCGTGAGAGCGACGAGTTTATAACATTTATGTATACATTTTTTTTAACATTTTAGACTAAATTCAAGTTTATTAACAAGTCTCTAATGTCATAAAATAACCTCTTAGTATCCAAAAATTATGACCATTGAAGTTTTGAGTAACCTCCCCTATTATTGAGGGGATTTAAGATAAAAATCTTTAATTAAGATATAAGTTCGTCTGACTATCAAATTCTATTCCTCACTCAAAAGTTCGGAGCGAAAGTTATTTTAACTCTTTTTTCGTGGATAAACAACCAAATGACGCAGACTTCATTGTTAAAATTCGACGAAGAATAACGAAGAAAATTAAGTTTTTATAAGTGACTTTAGTCAAGAAGATCATTTGTATTTTTCAAACAATTCTATCAAATTAATTTTTTTTTTCAAAAATAATTTGGTCATTGATTATTGTTTTTTGTTTTTTTTTTACATAAAGGCATTCTTTAATGCAGTGACTGATTTTTAATTTTTCTAAATTTCTAGTTACAAATAATTACTTATCTTTTGTAAAATATACAAATGGCGGGGCAAAAAGAAGACAAATATAGTCTTATTGCCAAGCCCCTAAATGTCCGTACATAATAAATAATAACTTACATACATAATAATATCCGTACATAATAAATAATAACCAATAAAAACTTGTCATTAAAAAATGATGATCAAGTGTTTTTCTGAAGTTTGAGTTTAATGAGTTTTTTTTAGTTGACAATAATAGTTTTGTATTTTTTGGGAATATACCTAAAAATTTCATATATAAGTAGCTGAAATACCAAATTCTCCTGTTTTAGTATGTTGTTATAGAAAAAGAGAAATCTTTTTCTAAAACAACATACTTAAACAGAAGAAATATTAATAAATAATAGAAATTTTGAATAATTTTATTTTTAACATATAAATAAAATGGTTTAAAAAAATATTATCCATGAAAATAAAAGTTAAACAAAATACAAGATTTAATTTTAAATTGATTTAAATACAAGTACAGCGTGGTACCACGTCAAAAACAATGTAGAAAGGTTTCATAATTTGAAAATGCGGCGATTCCTTTTTTCACCAAACCGATTAGAATTACTTAATCAACAGTTTCTTTAACTAATAGTATTATAAATAGTTACGTACAAATGAGGTCTTTTAATGTGTAGTAAAAAATCATATTAAACTCATTTAAAGACTTTATAGTAACCAATAATATAATGATGTCTACTTGCGTAAATTTTGAGATGTAATATTAATATAATTATGAAAAACCAATGATTTTGGTTTATAAATATACTTTTGGGAAATAAAACATACTTAAGTGCCAAACTTAATTATGTTCTTATTTATATCACATTAGTATGTTTAGGAAAATGTTGAAATACCTTTTATATAGTTATGACCTTTGAATTTTGAATTTTAAAACCTGTCAACTTTTTTTTAATTTTAGTTTAAAAAAATAAAAAAAAAAAGTTGCCCTCACATTTGAGGTAGGGGTGGTAAATGTTTAATGGTATTTTTTTTTTTAGGCTCCTATCACCACAAGTTTTGTTTCTAAATCAACGTATAAATCCTTGCTTAGCTACTGCTCGGGTTTTACGTATATTACACAGTTATATCGCCCATAAAATACCGTAGTTTTTAAATCCAGTGCTAGATTAAGAATTGCAGGGTCTGGGGAGACTTTTGAGCTGGTGGCATTTTTTCTTATTAAGTGGCAAAAAAATCTTACAAAAATAAAGCATCTCCTTAAAGATTTCGGAGCTTCTAAATCTGCCGGACATGAGGTTGTAGCCCTCATAATCCAGGACTGGTTTAACTTTTCCTCCTTAGTTTTTCAATAATAAAAACTTTTACGTAAAAAAACCGTAAAAAAGCTAACAATTATGCCAATTATGCCTTTGAAATAGTCTTTCTGTGTCTCCCATTGGTATATGTGCCTTCTCACTGCCATGTTTCAGATTTTTCTGAATACTAGACTTGACGTTTTTGCATTACTATTGTACAAACTCCTTTCAAAGTTATTGTAGAATTAAATTTACTTACTTTACATAAATTATTTTTAATTTACTTTACAAAATATAAAATGTAAGCTTATATAATTTAAATTTTATTTTATATAATTTATTTTAAATAAAGATTTGCTATTACTTATAAAATAAAAAATTTCTACTTAAAAAGTATTTTATTTTTAAATTTAATTTACATTTTGTAACATGCTACTTTTATGTAAATTATTTTCATATGACATTTTTTTTTAATATAATTTTTTTTTAATCAGTTACTTTTATAGGTAAATCTAATTTACAGTTTGAGGAACTTTTATGAAAAAAAAATAAATATTATGTAATGTAATTTTCAAAAGTAATTAACTTTTAAATGTAAAAGTAAACAGCTTTTTTATGTGACTTACTTTTACATGTAAAAGTAAATTACTTTTTGATGTAATCTTCTTTTACATGACCTTTTACCTTTGTACACCTTATTTTACCTTTATATACCTTATTCAGATAATAAATCTTTATTAATTATCAAAAAATTTTATCCGAATACTTTCTGTAATTCAAAAAACACAATCATGTTAAAATTTTACCACACTAATTGTGTTAAAATTTAATATATATACATATATATATATATATATATATATATATATATATATATATATATATATATATATATATATATATATATATATATATATATATATATATATATATATATATATATATATATATATATATATATATATTGAAGACTCAAGTTACTTGTGTCTTTAAACTGCTTTATTTGATAAGCATTACAAAAACACGTTTTATAAAATAAGTTGCAATCAATAAAGTTTAAGTATTTAATTATCGTATTTTTATTATCATCTCCTTCATTCATAAAAATATCGTTTGAAAATTTTTAGATTAAGCTTTGTATATTTGCCCAGGCTTGTCGAAAAGATTTTTGGTATTTCAAATTTGACATTTCTATGTACTGTGTATGTATTTTTATATACACACCAATTTTTAAGTATTGTGCACACACCAATTTTAACTTTGTATGTATTTATGTCAAATGAAATGTTATGCAAAAGATTGCGGTAATTTGAGCCTGGGAACAAAAACACCCTAAAATGCTTACCAAACCATGTATGGGCAATGGTATGTTAAAAAAATGTTTTTTATTACACCTTCACAGATTTAATTTGATCAATAGGCTATAAACTTCATCTAGTGGTGTTTTAATGTTTAAATGTAATGACTATGTAAAGTTTCGACTCTCCATTAAATAAGAGGGTTGAAAATTTTGTACCCTTTACATTTGGAGCAAAAATTTTGTGGTACTTTTGTTCCTAGGCAAGACCAAGTTAGTCTTTTTTTTGAACGGTTATAATTATTTTTTTTTATTTAATGAAAAAGTATAAATTTTCTTTAAATACAATGAAACAGTAAAGTTTTCTTCTTTCTTATAAGTATTAAACACCACTTGCAATAAACCAGTTGAAAACCCAGTTATAATAAAACTAAAATGAGTAACTTTAATGGAAAATATGTGAAAACGTCTTTCAAACGTTTTAAACGTATTTTGAACGCTCAAAAGACGTCATTTTTAGGTCCAGTGCCTACAAAGAATTGTATACTATAGTAAATACTATCTTAATATTATTTTTTTGTATTTAGGTTACGTCGGCAAATGTTGTTAATGTTTATCATAGAATCTGACCGTACAACTTCAAGAAGAATAATTAGGCCGACTATTACCCTATTCATACTTATGATAAAACATGTTTTATTTTAAACGTGTTTTGTGCTAACTAACACACAAGTTGTATAAAACAGCAATAAAACAACATAGCGAAGTTGTTTTATAGTACCACAAGCTTTTAATATTTAAAAAACAACCTCGCAATATTGTTTTATTATAGATTTGTTTAGCTTTTTACAATAACAGTTTATTATGCTTTTCAAATCAAATCACAGAGCACTTCAAAGAAGCATTTAACTTGGAAGTTCACGCCTCCTTCTTACCAATAACGCGATATTCCTGTTAAATCTTGTAGGGTGTTGGGGTACCTCTTTTTTTAATTTATTTAATTTTTTTTGACAAAAAAATTTTAATTTTTTTCTGGTGTAGAAACCGAACCATAATTAATAAACCCAAAGCTCCTAATGGGTTATTATTAAATTATTAATTTTACTCATGTTTTTTATACAGGAGATTTTTCAGTATTGATAGTACATACTTGTTAATTTTCAATATTTACATCACATATGTTTCAATAGCACACATAGGTATTACAGGCCTCTATTCCATAGCTCTTTAGATGAACACATTTTAATTAAATGTCATTAATAGTTATGTTATATGGAAGTTAACATAAAACAAAAACAAACAATTATTACATTTTGAGTCTTACATTTACGACATGATCTGTCTTTACAAATTTTAAAAAATAAAGTAAAATAAAAATCTTAAATAAAACAAAAAAATTTTGTATTAAAATTTAGCTAAAAGTAAATACAAAATTGAAACAAATTAAAATAAAATAAAAAAGTAGAAACTGTGTAATAATATTAACAATAATAATAAAATTAATATTTATTTTAAAACTTCACCGATTAAAATCAATAAATTTTTATGTTTTTTAAATCGTTTTTTAAATCATTTTAATTCAACTTACGAGTTACTGAAAAAACCAAAATAAGAAAACAGAGAAAAATATTTTTTGCATTTAGCATTATCTTCTTAAATTGGCTTTATGATACGAATAAAATCTTTGCAAGATTTTTTTTTAAATAATAAAAAAAAAAGATTAAATAATTATTTGAAACAGTTAATTTGAAACAATTAATTAAAATTTTAAAACCGTTAAAAAAAAACTCAATTAAACTATAAAAAATTTATTTATGAAATGGTAAAAGTAAACATACAAATAACAGATAAAAAACTTCAAATATGCTAGTGTTAATAAAAGTTTACCTTCTAATACAGTAGAAGTATGTGGAGAAAATTTTCGCTCGTTTTGTCTTTGATAAAGGCTTTCCCATTTTTTTTTTAATGTAACCTTTTGTTGAACCATGCTAAATTTTAAAAACACTATTTTTTTGCAAATCAATTCTCTATTGTTTACTTAAAAAGTAATAATAAAATCAATTTGTCTGTTTTATACTCTTAGTAACTTGCCAGACAATATCAGGAAATTATTAAGTAAAAGTTTAAAACGTATCGATAATTAAAACTGTGTTAACAATAATTTGTTGTTTATAAAATTAATATATGTTTCCGTGAAAATTTTAAAGAATCTTTTTCTATGAATTGAAAATCTTTCATCTAAACAATTAAGTTTATGATAAAACAAAATAATAACAATAATACGAATAAAACATAAATAAAAAGATGAATATCATGGTATTTAAGCGAGCAAAATATATTTAAAACGCATCTGAATAACTCTACAAACTAATCTAAAAGACATCTAAACTTACGTCATATAGAAAACTTAAGTTCAACTAATGGATTCGTCGAAAATAGTAGCGTGGTAAATTCTTTAATAAAAAGTTTTCATTTTTTTGCAAAATTAGAAATTTTTTTGCTGACATGCTGTCAGCATGCTTTTTTGCCTTAATTAATTAGTTGCCTTAATAAGTTAATAGTCTCAATATATTATTTGCTTTATTAAAATTAAAGCTGTTAGCAGCATTTAGAATTTATTACTACATTAAAAATAAACACTTTTTATTAACGACCTTATTAAAATGTCTGGCTAGAAACAGTTGCGTAGCAACTGACTCGAAGACAAAGTTTTTAGAGCCCTATACTTTTTAAACCTATATTTTGTTCTAACATTATATTTTCTTTATTAGAATTTCATTCTCAATCTAATAATTTTGTGACTACTTGTTCTTAAACAAATTCTAATAAAAATTTTGCCTTTTAGTTTTATTTTGTTTTTTCAGTTGCTTTTTAGTTTGTTTTTTAGTATCTTAATTTCATAGACTTCCCACAAGTATAAGTATATATCACAAGTAGTAAATAAAATAGTTAACTCGCAGCAAATGCTTTTTTGCGTTACTAAAAAATTACCTGCCTTAAGTAATTTTTTATTGACTAAACTTATTGATGTGATTTTTATTAACAAAATTTACTTTAACTTTTTAGTTGACTAAAAAATGTAATTTTCTTATTTTGAATAACTAGTATATCAAATATAAAAAGGTCGATGTTGATCAATCGTAAACTCTCTGTAGATTTAGATGATCGTATGTTTTGAAAATTCACACAATCCAACAGTTACTTAAAGTATTCACATTTCTATTAAATAAGAAGAAACCATACAGTTGCTTGATCTGGTATTAAAAAAAGTCCTCGTTAAATAATAGTACCAAATGGTATGCAAATTTATTGTAAAAAATTATTTTTTCATCAAATTTTGTTTTTATAGGAACAAAGGTAAACAGGTGTTTTACTTACACCCTATGATACAATTTTACTTTTCTTCAAAAAGGTAGACTGAGCTCTGCAAAGGTTTGTATAATGTTAATGACTTGCTCGAAAATATTTATCCATAAATTTGAAGGCTTTATGGATAAATATTTTTGGACTAGGCTTATTGCAAAATTCTTGCTCAAAACGTTACTAGATTTTTATTTGACATAAATAGCATATTTATGTGACTTTTCAAGCTGCCTAATTTCTAGATCACGTGATAATCTGATTCCACCGTCAATCAACTGTTAAAAAAGATTTTTATATTAATATTTAAGGAAAGATCTTATAATCAGTTAGAAATATAGCAGACAATACAAATGCATTATTTGTATATCTTTTTGACCAATAATAAATTTTTTGGTGTTTTGGTGCTGTTTTGTGCCGGGGTATTTGCAGCTATTTTTATATGAATTTTTTTCCTTTTTTTTGCCTCCGGAGTGCCTAAAAATTGACAGAAATTTGCATCCCTGCACCTTGCTCCTCACTTATGTTTCTTAAATTTTTAGGAAAACGGTTTAAATAGCTGTTTAAATAGTACAGCTTAATATTCAAACAACGGAATTAAGGTATATAAGATTATAATATGGTAATTTGAAACTACTAAGCATCTCGTTTGCCATTTCAACATAACTTTTATCTTTTGCAATAAATGAAGTTCAGAATATTTTCTCAGCCTCCACCTCTTTATTTGTGGATCGTCAAATATTCCTGCTTCAAATTTTTTTTGTACTTATCTGTGACACCTGCTCCCCTATACTTCCAAAATACGATCCGCCAGTATCAATAGTCTTTACGAATTGCTTCGTAAGGTACAGCTTGATTTGCAGTGGAGGAGAATGATTTTTTTCCGTCCAACAAAGGTGCCATTAATCACATTCTTTTTCCCAACATCCAAGTTTTTTTTCTTCAAGCAAGTATGTTTGGTGTAGCCACTATGCTGTCCAAGGAGAAATTTTAACGTTTTTAGGTTCACACAAATCACCCGTTGATGTTTCCGATACTTTAGCTTTTCCAAAGCTAAAGTAATAGTGTTATATTCTTCTTTCCTTTTTGTTGAGTGAACAATTTGTATTGAACCAAACTTGTCCCCATTGTGCAGAAGAACACATTTAAACTTTGCTTTGAGCTTTCAATAAATAGACACCAACCAGCTTGAAACTGTTCAGAAAGTTCCATTTTTTCCAGAAGTCCTCTAAGTTTATGACAAAAGACTAAATCCTCTTCTTGAGAAAAGAAGGGTTGCAAATTCTTTTCTCGTGTACCATAGAAAGTAAGTTTGGTTCGTTGTTCTAGTAAATTTGTATGATATATATGTGTGCGTTAGTTTGAAAAAAATTATTAGTAAAAGAGGTTTAAAGTGGTCCGGGCTTATATTTGAGCACAGATGAAATAATTTGGTATACGTTAGTTGGGTAAATATTTTTCAATAAATTTTTATTATAAATCAAAGTTAGTTTAAATTCGTTTATATTTCCCCAAGCAATAAAAGCCTATGATAGATAACTTTGTATATAAAAAAAGTAAAGGAATTAAAACTTTTTAGAGAAAGTATAGGTTTGACTTTGTAGAGTATGCCGATACTTTTTGATATTTTTGTATTTATTGTTTTATAAGGACTTTTCAAGAAAAAAAAACTTTTTTATCGATATTTATCCCAAGAAATATAATCGTTTCAGTACTTTTGATGTTTATGTTTTCAATTTTTAGTATTAGTAACTTGTTATATTATTTTTCCGATGGTTGGAATTGAACGATATATATATATATATTTTTTTTTTTTCTAATTCAAAGATAACTAATTTACTTTAAATAAGATGTTAAGGCTCTTAAGGTTATCGTTCGCAGATTCATAGAGGGCTTTGATTGATGCTGATGAATAAAATAGATTCGTGTCACCAGTATAAATTTTTGCCTCAAGTTTTATAAGGAATTGTGAAAGATCATTTATATAAATTGAAAATAAAAGAGGACCAAGAATGGAACTTTGGGGAACTGCGCATTTTATCTCTAGAAAATATGAGTATTTATTATTGTTTGAAATAACACATTGTTGTCTGTTGCACAGATAACTTTTAAACCAATCTAGGGTAGTATTTTTTACCCCGTATTCTTTCATCTTTTTAATAAGATATCATAACTAACGCTTTAGATAGGTCTATAAAAGTTTCTTATACAAATTGCATTTTATTAAAAAAATCACTTATGCTATCAACTATATCTAAAATTGCATGTTCTGTTGAACGTTGTGATTGAAAATCGAATTATTTTTTATTTAAAAATTTGTTTTGATTTAAATATTCATATAATCTATTATAAGATTATATGAATATTTAAATCAAGTAGATTATTCGTTCAAGTATTTTTAGTCTTCAACTGTTTATTTGAAATACTTTTATTATCTCTTATAGTTTTTATTATCTAAAGCAGTCTTAGAAGTTAAACCATTCAATTTGCAGTTTTTGATCCCATATATTTCTTTCATGATCCCAAGTCTTTTTAATATCACCATATGATTTTTTTAAATTTTATTTGAGTAATTTTTACATTTTTCAAACAAGTTTTTGTACTGTTTGTAAACATTTAGGTTTGTTTAATATTTATTTTTTAAGTACTTGATTTAAAGGACAAATTAAATATTAATATAGTTTTTTAGGAAACTTTTTTTAAGTTCTTATAGACTTTGTTTGTGTGGCCAAGTTTGCATTCTTGGCATACATTATCCCAATCTTCTTTTGACAGTCTTAAATTGTTGGGTCTTTAAATTGTTGGGTCTTTTATATATTGAAAATATTATTAATCTAAAAAATAAATTTCTAAAAATTAATTCAGGGCATAGATATCTACAAAATTTGATGAGGGAAAAGTTTTATATCATTGAATGGAAAAAAACTTACGACTCAAAATTTACGGTTGTAAAAGTTTCCGGTAGTAAAATTTTTGCCGGTAGCATTTTACGACGGTAAAAGTTTTATAACAACGACCCCAGGTGGTTGGTGGAAACTAGTATGTTTTTTGATTTGTTACTAGTTATTTTAATTGTAAAATTTCCACTATCGGCATCTGAGATAAAAAGGTCATCTCTTATTTTGGTAACTCAATCATTCCGAATATAAGTTATTATTCCATCTCCTCTTTTGTATTTTTTAACTAGCTGACCGGTAAACTGATAACACCTTGTATATGTGAATTATAACTTTATAAAATGGAGTTAGAACAGTAAACTTCATGTAAAACTCTTAAAAAAACATTTATCTAAAAAACTAGAAGTGATAGAAAAAAAGCTGTTTTTATATTCATATTCAACAACATAAATAAAATCAGTTTTAAATCCTAGGCACCAAAAATGTTTTTTTTGTAGGCCTGTGTTATATACAGAGTATTCCAAAACTAAAGCATTTTTTGAACGTCATAAATAAAACACGTTAAAACTTAAAAATAATATTAATAGTATATATATTTTTTTAAATTTTATTTAGGTACCCCAAGAAGTCCTTACGGTCTTATCACAAAGCACCACGGATGAGCATTTAATTGGAAGTTCACGCCTCCTTCCTAAGCGATGTCACAGGACTTGCCCAGAGGTGGGGTTTGAACGACGGATCCTTTGTTTCTGAGGCTAGTGCGCTACCACTACGCCGCGGCAGCTCTTATATATTTCTCTTAAAATAATATCAGCAAATGGAACCATATGTTTTTTCCGAAATCCTAATATAAGAAGCGGAAGATAATGTTTTTGATTTTATTTAATGGCTCCAAACAAAAAATAACCAAAAAGCATTTCCAAACCATCACTGCTTTTAAACCACTATGTTGAAAAAAAGCTTTTTTATACTTTGGGTTAAGCTAGCATTTTGTTAGTCTGAATGTTTTTTTTTTCTATTTGAATGGCTCAAGTTATTGTGACTCCATTGTTCTGCTGTCAGGTTTTTATGAGCACTAGAAAAACCTAAACTAACTTTTCTATTCTTTGAAATAAACGGGTTTTTTGCAGCTTCATAACTAAACAGTCATAATGTATCAAGACGTCTTAGGGGTCATCCATAAAGGACGTCACCATTTTTGAGTCAATTTTTGACTGGTGCGCACACTAGAGTCAAACCAGTCCCGATCATTCGTTAAGAGATGAGGATCGAGCTTAGTCTTGCTGTCTGGATTAATCTACTTGGTGACCGTTGGGAACTGATCAATTATTAGATCTGAGAAGACAAAAGCACAATGCTTTCCAGCAAATTATTTTTTTTTAAAGCTGGCCCAAGAAGTCCTGACGGTCTTATCGTAGAGCACCGCAAAAGAGCATTTGAAAGGAATTCATGCTTCTTCTCTTACGGATTTTATAAAACTTGTCCAGAGGTGGCGTTGAACCATGGATCTCTAGCTTCTGAGGCACCACTGCGCTATGGCGGCTCAAAGTTTCTCATTATATAGAGTTCTTATATCAAAAGCAACAAATAATATAAAATTGTTATTCTTTACGTTTTATAATTTCATTGAATGATATATTTTCGGATATATATATATATATATATATATATATATATATATATATATATATATATATATATATATATATATATATATATATATATATATATATATATACTTTTTATATTTAGTTATAATTATTAAATTTTAAAATCGTAAAAATTTAAATTATCAAAGTTATTTTTTGTCGACAGAAATTTGTAAATCTTGAAATTATAAAAATTACAAATACTTATACAATATTTATAATTCTGTAACTCTTATAATTATGAATTTACAATATTAGTTTTATTATTAAATTTTTTATTTTTTTATTAAAGTTACAAAGGTTAGTTTTATTTATTAGAAACACTTTTTTATACAACCTCCCCCTTCCCTTTTTATTATTACAACCTCCCCCTTCCCTTTTTATTAATACAACCTCCCCCTTCCTTTTTTATTTATACAACCTCCCCCTTCCCTTTTTATTAATAAATAAAAACACTTTTTGATTTTAATCCATACAGATACTGTTTTCTAAGGATTTACTGATCGTAACTTTTATAATCATTTATAAGGGAACTCTATTCTAAAATCTTTTCGAAAAGTGGTTTGAAATTTGCTGACCAAAAATTGTATGAATATTACTATATTGTGGTTGATTTAAAATTTTACTTATTGTAAATATTTTTTGCAATAAATAAAAGCATATTACTTTGAACTAAGCGGGTTCAAAGTAATATGGCTAATACGTTCAATTTATAAAAACCCGTTCAATTCAAAAAAGTGAAAATGTTACTGATACATCAAGTAATGATACAATAAAAATTAGATTAATTAGACATTTAATAACATTCGAATAAAAAATACCTAATAAATGTGACCTTTAAAAATACAGTATAAAACATTATACATATTAATAAATAAAAAGTATGTATATTATACAAAAATCAAATTATTTAAAAATGCATTCAAAATGTTTAAAAATTAAGAAATTACTAAACTACTTAAATATGACATCAAACGTTAAAAATAAAATATCGAAAAATCAACTTATTCAAAGTCAATCAAAGCAAGTGACCAAGCCCATTGACACGGCAAAGGCCTCAAACCAGTAAGATCTACTGTTATACCTGATCTACCCTCTTTTCCTTCCCACGGCAAAGAAATAGAACTACCAAGCATAAAGACCTTGGAGGAAGATTTTGGTATAGGTTGATGCAATGTCAATATTGCATCATTTGGCATCTGCAAGATAATCGCATAAACACATTCTTTGTCAGTAGTATACCTATATTTAAGAAATAAAAGGACAAGTTATAAATTTAGTTTTCCTAAAGCCTAAAAACTAACTTTAACAAACAAGATAAAAAAAGCCTCTAAAATCAACGAAGCATAAACTTTAAACACATTTCATACAACTATAAAAAAAAAATGCTTATAATTTCAGAATATTAAAAATAAAATAAAGTACGATTTGTTTCTCATTGATTAAATATTTTTTAATCAATGAGAAACAAATAAAAAACAATAATAACAATAATTTTTTGTATCAAAAATTATTGTTATTATTGTTATTACAACACGAGATTTAAATAAAAGAATGCAAGAATTAAATTAAAAAAGGTAAGATTTGAATTTAAAGTTTGAATAACTTCAAAAAAATAATAAGCTCTTATTTAGATAAAATTTATATATTGAAACTGAAAAGCATTTAATTAGAAAACAATATTTTTAATTATAGAGCTCTGATTCTAAACTCAAATAACTTTAGTTGGTCTTTTAAAAGCTAACAATAGCTTTAACATACCAGATTTTTCCGGATTCTGAATCATTTTGAAATTTC